GTTGTTTTTAGTAATGATAGAGAAATTCAAGAAGGTAATTTTGTAAGAAGAACTGGATCTATTGTTAGTGTTCCTGTAGGACCAGAAGTATTAGGTAGAGTAGTAGATGCTTTAGGACACAATGTTATGGAAGCGCGTGCACTATTATCGGGCCTCCACTGGGTTCGGCAACATTGTCATCAGCAACCTGTACAGATCATCGGTGATTCGGCCATTGTCATTGACATGGCGTCTGCAAGGACACGTGTTCACAGCGCCACGTTGGCCCCTCTGATCCACGACATTCGACTATATATCAATCAGCTCCGCCTAGTCCGGATTCGAGCGGTTCCGCGAACCTTTAACGTTGCAGCGGAAGCCCTTTGAAATTGGATCATGGATCAGACCGAGACGCAGTCGTTAACTCGATCCACGCTAAATACCAGATGCCCGTTGACGGAACTTCAGTGGTCCGATCCGTTGGTCAAAGGTTGCCCCCCCCCGTTGCACCAATCGATCTCCGCACCTATGACCGCCTTCAGTGGCAGTCACGTTGGTCGTTGGTACTGTTAGACTACGAACGCGTCCGCCACATCATTACCAACCGTTTTCTCCTACGCCACATTGGCGTACCCATTCGATCGCATCTCAGTGATGTCCCTCGGTCCACCGTGGACATGCTGGCCCGTACCGATACTTCTCGACGCCACGTTGGCGTACCGAATCGATCGCATCTCAGTGAATACTCTCGGTCCACCGTGAACACCTTGGCCAGTTCCGATAATCCCCGACGCCACGTGGGCGTACCGAATCGATCGCATCTCAGTGATGACTCTCGGTCCACCGTGGACACACAGGCCCGTACTGAGCGGTCCCCGTTTGACAACGATATTCGCAGAGAATGTGTTGTTCGAGGCATTAAACGTTGTGTCCCGCTCGATGTGTTCCGGAAATTTCAGGCCGTGGCGTCCACGCATCGTCTATCGTTCCCGTTGAATCGCATTTTCCGCAACCCGACGGGGGATCGTCTCACTCTTCCGTTCGAGGATATCCGTTTCCTTTCCGCAGTCGTTCAGCTACCCCATATGGGTATTGAAGGGACACTCCGAGTGTTTCGAGGTCAGACCTCACGCGATGACCGCCCTAACAAGGCCCTACGACCTCGATTGTTCCGACAACACCTTGCCTCCTACGAGGAGCTCGAGCTCCTTTGCAGTATAGCTGAACACGGTGTGGTCCCTCATTGGCGTCACTCGGTTGCCAGAGCTGGAGTGCGGCCGGTCCCACACAACTATCCCAGTGCAATTACGGGGGCCACTGTCGTGACGCATCGATTACTGAAGGACTACTACGCCGGGCGTTGTATCATCGCCACGATGGCCGCTCTGACAGCGGAGCCGGGGTTTCACTCGAGTGCCTTTGCATTAGTTCCAAAAAGGGACGTCCCTTTATCCGAAGATGGGAGAATCATCCACGACTTATCCGCGCCCCAAGGACTTTCGGTCAACGACATTACGGACACGAGCCTGACACCAGACGCCCGTTGGGATCAATTCTCATGTATTTCCATACGCATCGTGGAACTCCGCACTCGGTATCCAGGATGCCGCATATACGCGCTCGTAGCAGATATCGCGGAAGCTTTTCATCACGTGCCGGTCCACGCTCATCATTCGTCCGCGTTTGGGGGGACCTTCCCACGTTCACATATCGGCATCGTTTCGGGGATGGCGGTATTCGGGTGGACTGCGTCGCCGGGGTTCTTCGCCATCATGGGAAAGGCCACAAGGCACTACCAGCGCACAGGCGCATCGTACGTCAGCGGATACCCAGAACCGTTCTGGGTATTCCAATGGGTAGACGACATCGTCATCATCGAGGCCGATATCGGAGACCGACTTCTACAAGCAGAGCGTCGACTACGTAACGCAGTGAAACTC